GACTCCCTGTACAATAGTATGTGTACATGTATGCACTCCACGTCCCCACTCAGGCTACAGGTACACACGTGTACATGCATGGGTTGCTTCACGTGTGTGTGTGTGTGTGTGTGTGTGTGTGTGTCCCACCCAGGCAGGTCCAGGCCCTTCAGCCCCAGGTGCCTCCATCCCATGAGGGTCATGTGTCCCGTCCAGGCTGGGACACGACAGGGGCCCATCTCCTTCCACATCCCCTCTGTCCTCTGCACCCAGTTCCCCGATCTCTCCCTTCCATCTCTCAGGTGCTCACCTGTCCTCTGCACATGGCAGACGCACTGGTGGTTTTTAAAATTGGCATGAAAATCACATAGCGGAAAGTTAAAATTTTAAGCTGAACAATTCAGTGGCATTTAGTGCATTCACAACCACCACCTATATCTAGTGCTAAAACATTCCACCCCGAAAGGAAACCCGGGGCCAGATTTAGCAGTCATGCCCCGCCCCCAGCCCCCACAACCACCAACCTGTTTTCTGTCTCTACGAGTTTGTCTATTCTGAATATCTCATAGAAGTAAAGTCATAAAACATTGGGTTTTTTGTGACTGGCTTCTTTCACTCATGTTTTCCAGGTCTTGGTTCAAATGTCACCTCCTCCGAGAGACCTTCCCTGACCTCCCTCGTCCCTAAAAACCCCAGCCTCCTGCCCATCAGCTCACAGCCCTCAGCAGCATTGGACATAATCCTGACCTCGTCTCTGTCCACTCGATGGTTGTCCATCTCCTTTTCAAAGCACAGGCTCAGAAGGGCAAGGAATTACTTTCATACTCTCAGAAAGCTGTGAATGAATAAGGGGCCCACATGACACCCTCCTTCTTCCTTGTGTCCCTCTGCCCCATCATGTGCCCCTGGCTCTTGGTTGAACCTCAGGTGCAATTCAACAATACTTATCACACACCAACTGTGTGACAGGTCCTCTCCCAAACACCAGGACAGGCTCCCTGTCCCTGTGACATCTTCACCCTTGAGGTGGAGACAGATTTTTAAAAATATTTAATTAATTAATTATTTTATGAAATTATTTATTTTAGAGAGAGTTCGGGAAGGGAGGGAGAAAAAGAGGGAGGGAGACATTGATGTAAGAGAGAAGCCGATCGGTTGCCTCTTGAATGCACTCCGATGGGGATGGAACCTGCAACCCAGGCGTGTGCCCTGACTGGGAATCGAACCTGCGACCCTTTGGTTTACAGGACAATGCTCAAACCAACTGAGCCACACCAGTGAGGGAAAAGTGGAGACAGAATCTAACTGCAGTCAAAGTTGTTACTAGTAAGATCAGCGGTTCATATCCAACTTGCTTATTCATGTCACAAATATTTATTGAACAGCTACTATGTGTAGGACTTAGGTAAATAACCAGAAGGATTTTGGTGTGGATGATCAAGGAAAGCGTTTCCTTAGGAAGCAGTATTTGAGCCAAGGTCTGAAGGTGGAAAAGGAGAATCCTATAAAAGTTGAGGATGTCTGCATGGTGACAGATGATCACGAGAATTAGTGGGATGAGCAGATTGTAAGGTATAAAAACATCTAAGCCCTAGTTATGCACCTGAAGCTAATATAACTTATGTAACTTTGTATACTTAAATTAAAAATAAATTTAAAAAATAATAAAATTAAAAAAAAATAAAGGCCGAAGGGAAAGCATTGTAGCAGAAGGAACAGCAAACATGAAGACCTGAGGCAGAAAAGTAATTCAAGGGAGAGAAAGTTGGTGTGATGCCAGGGCAGTAATGAGGGAGGAAACGGCCCATCTACTGCTGGCTCTGTGATGTTAGGCAAGGTATGGAACCACTCTGAGCCTCAGTTTACCCATCTATTAATGAGAATAGTAATAATAATGAAGCCTTTTGCAGAGGAGGAAACAAAATCCAAGGCACAAGCATTGGCCCAGACCAAGTGGCTGAAAAACAAACCCCCTTGTCCTGGGTGACAGACCGTTGGTGACAGCAGTAATTGTAGGGCAAGTATAATTCTCTACCTCCTTCTTACCCCATGGTCTTTCTTTTCTTATTGTTTATGCTATCACGGTTGTCTCAGGTTTTCCCCCATTGCCCCGTCCCCCAAACCCCCAACCCACAGTCGATCCCCACACCATTGTTCATGTCCACGTCACCCCACGGTCTTTCGGGGCTGCCCTCCGCCCCGCCCCTCCCTGACATCACTGGCTGGAGCTAACTTATCTCCAGCTTATCTGCAGCTCTTCCTGTTTAGCTGAGCCTACCCTCCCTTAGTGGAAGGCAGCTATATAAAGAAGAAAAAAGAAACAACTGTCTTTTCCTTCCATGATTCCGCCTCATGGAGCAGTTTTACCTGCCCCTCACTCACATCTCGGAAAGATCAGAAACAGGGACGGGATGAGCATTTGGGCTCAGAGTGCAGGGGCGTGTGGGCTGCTTGCAGGGAGATGAGTTACAGCAACTGTGGTCAGTCACCCCCCTTCTCAGATGATGAGCCAGCTCTCCTGTGCATGTGTGGTGGGTTTATTTATTTTTTTCACTCAGCCTCATATACCACAGGATGGAGTGGGGTGGGGGAAGCACAGTTACAGGAGAAATATGCTCAGAAATTCCCCAGAACCCCGATCTCACTCAGAGAGGAAGAAAGAGTCCTCACCTCGACCCACAGTCCCTTTATGACCTGGTCCACCGTCACCTCCTCCTTCTCTCCCCAACCAGAGGGCCTCCTCCTCCATGTCTCTCCAACTCGCCAGACGCAGTCCTGCCTCAGGACCTTTACACAGACAGCTCTCTCTACCTAGGGAGTGTTCTTCCCAGCACACGCGTCGCTCCCTTAAGTCTCTGCTCAAATGTCACCATCTCAGCAAGGCCCTTCCTGGCTTCTCTATTTCAATTCTTATAACCCACCCACCGTTACCTCTCCCTAGTCTCCTGCTTCTTTGTTTCCCGTGACACTTTTCACCACGGATCCTCCACTTGAACACTTTCTATCTGTACCCCTACCGGGGTGCAAGCACCACAGAAGCAAGAACCACTCTGTTTGTTCGCTGCCCTTTCCTCAGTGCCTGGAACATGATGCCTAATCAATAAATATTTGCTGAGTGAATAAAGGAATTTTGAGAAAAAATGAATGAATAATTATTATGACTGAGCCAAAGATTTAGCCCTGAGCCCCCTGTGATCAATGCAAAAAGGGAACTAGGGTTAGTTACATTCTCCATGAGGATAAAACAACCTAGTTCTCAGGAAAAGGCTCTGTGCCTGGCCATCTATGTACTTCTATTCATTTAACTTTCATAAGGAGCCTCTCAAGGGAGGCTGAGTGATGTGTGCCAGACCACCCAGCTGGCGGAACACTGGTCCTCCACTGAGCCAACCTTTTCCAAACTGGCCTCATTATAAGAATCTCCTGGTTGCTGGTAAAAAGTGCATATCCCAAGGCCTGTCTCCTACAGTCTGAATTCAGGAGGCCTGTAACTAAACAGGTGATTCTTCTGATTAAGGCACCTCGGACACCTTGGACACACTGGCTGGGCGGCATCACCAAAAGAAAGCACCAAGCCACCCACATCTCCCAGCGGTCAAATGCTACACAGCTGCATCCACTACCTCCTTTCCTCTCCCTTTTAAATTTTTTAATATTCCTTCAGTCAGAGTCAGAGCTACACTGAAGGCCTCTGAAGGATCAGCCATGGCTGTGTGGCACCTTTGTGTGGAGAGTTGGCTCCTCTGCACCCCAAGTCTACCTCCCAGCTGTGGGGGCTGGCTGGGAGGAAACAGGCCAGAGTCACCTCCTCCAGGCAGCCCTTTTTTTTTTTGACTCCCCAAGACACTCTTGAGAGATGTGAGGCTCCAAGCTAAGATGGAAGGTGAGGGACAAGGCAGGGCACCGGGGGCTCCCCCCAACAGCTGTGCCTGGGGGCAGTGGCTGAGCTGGCTGTGCAGGTGTTCAGAAGGGCAGGTGCTGGCCGGTCCCCCTGCCATGGCTGATTGCTGCAGCTGTGACCAAGAGGATGGGAGGCACGGTCGGGTGCTTGTCTCCTGCTCCTCCTGGAAGGCTGAGCATTGAGGTAAAGAACCAGAATAAATGTTGAGCTGGCAGAGGAGCACTGGGCAGTGATGTGTGGGGCTCCCTGCACAGCCCAGCTCTGATGAGCTCTGGGTCTCCGGGATCCCTGGGAGACCTCCCCTGAAGAGTGGTCCTTTCTTCTTTCCAGCAGGGAGTGTGTGTGTCCTGAGCAGTGGAGGGGCAGTGAGCAGCTGGGGAGAGAAAGGAAACTGACCTCCCCCCCCCCAGATATTACTGACTCCTTCCGGTGGCTCACAGTCCTGACCCAGGATGCAGAGGGAGCCGTCTGGACCAGAGAAGGTCTGATCCCAAACTAGGTGGTAAAGCAGCCCCCCAAGGGAACACCAAGCTAGGAGAATTCGGCCATCCTGAGACATTCCTTCCGCCTTCAGTATGTTTGTTTCCAAGCCACCACCCCCAGAACAGAAACCCCAACATCAGGAGGGTGTCCTCCTGCTTGTCACTAAGCTGAGCACAGAGGGAAGGGCACAAAGATCATAAGCGGGCAGGTGAGGGGACAAGTGAATTGTAAGTAAATGAGAGAGTGAATCCATGAACAAGTAATAAACAAATGGGCACAAAAATGAGTGATTAAATGAACAAATGAAGGGAAGAACAGACTGATGGATGGATGGATGAACAGAAGGAAGGGAGGAAGCAAGAGAAGAAGGAAGGAAGAAAAAGTGACTTCCCAGAGCACATATTTTAAGCAGGATAGAAGCCATGGAATGACCCAAGAGGAGCCCCAAGCCCTCCTTCCAGAGGCTTGGTCGCTGAGAAGTATACCCTCTCAACTAGGACCCCTCCCGGATGCTTTTCACAGGCCTTCCCAGTACTGGGGGCTGGGTCAAGAGCAAGCCACTCACCGCCCCTCCCCAGATAAACCCACACTCAGCCCCAACCACCCTTTGCAGTCCTGGCCTGCCCAGGGAAAGCCCTCAGGAGGCTTCCTGGCCACCCTTGCAGCCTCCAGCTGCTCTGCTGGCGGCTCGGGACTTGATGCGCAGTTTGTGGGGCAGGCAGGGCTGAGCCAGACCCTCAGGATGATTCCCTGGGACAGGGCAGGCCACCCGGGGAGGCAGCCCCATGGGATCAACCGTGGGTGTCAGTAGCATATCTGAGGGCCCTGAGGCCTGGCAACCAGTGGGCACAGGAGACCAGAGTCCCCAGCAGGGCCTGAGCTCAGATCTGGGCCCCCCGTGTCCACCCAGGAGGTGACAGCTGAAGAAGGTGGCTGGGAGGGCAGCTTGCAAGGCCATATCCATTCTCTTGGGGTCAGGGGCGGCGGGGTCCTGGGGGAACCTGGAGGAAGTGGCCAGGCCAGTCCACCTTTGAGCAACTTGGCAGCCCTGGCATCCTGGGACCCCAGCGTCCAGGGAACAGGGCCTCAAGATGCAGCCGGGGGAGCCCGGCAGAGATGGGAGTGGCTCGGCCCCAGAGAGGGGGTCTCCAGTCCAGGGGGTCGCCCACAGTAGAGCCTGCCAGGGCAGGCTCTGGGTGCTACCAGCGGGGGCCAGGAGGCCGAAGTGGTGCTTGAGTGCTCCCAGCTCAGCCCTGAGCAGTGCGTTCTCCTGCAGCACGGCGGCCAGCCTACGCTCCAGGGCCGCGTCATTGAGGCGCCGCTTCTCCCGGGACCTCTTGGCTGCTTCGTTGTTCTTCCTCCGCTTTTCCCAGTAAACCGTGTCCTTCTTCTCTTCCGGCAGGAACTCCCGCTGCCGACGCATGGCCGGGCCCCTGCTCTGCGCCCCCAGCAGGGTCTTGCTGCGACGCTGGGGGGCACCTGGCAGGCCCAAGACACCCAAGTCCATGGTTGCCTGGGGGACCTGAGGAACAAAACAGAGGTCTTGGCCTGGCAGCAGGAGGCTGACCCAGATGACCTCTGCCTCTAATTTATCCTCCACCTTCCCACTGGGGGAAGGGGTGCAGATGGAGTGGGAATTGGGCTGGAGACCAAGGTGGGGGCAGAGAAAGGTGTATTAGAGAGAAGGGGAGTGGTTTGATGCCTGATGGAGATGTGGGCAAGGCCACCAGAGAGGGGCCACTTGGCTGGGAAGGGCATCCACTGTCGTCATGGAGGGTCGGTTGGGCACTTTATCCTCAAGAGGATGCTGGCTCCTTCCTGGGCATTCTTACCGCGGAGAAGGTCAGCAGACAAACCAAGGGCTCTGTTCAACCTGAGCTCCAGGGTGGGATTCTTCGAGGCCTGGAGGGGAATAGAAGATAGCCGGAACCTAGAAAGAGAGAACATGTGTCCACAGAGTTCATCTGAGTCACGTTGGGGTCAGAAAATAATTCACAACTCACCTTGACTTGGTGCCCAAGTTGTACACCAAGATCTCCACCTGTGGCCAGTTTTACACTTGCCCGGCCACCCACCTGCCCATGCATTCTTAACATCATTATTTACCCGTCCACTCACTCAACTGCACAGTCGCCTCTCCCTCTGCCAACCTCCCCAGCTAACTCACCATCCACCCATTCATCCATTTATCCACCCGTCCACCACCTTATTTATCTCTCCATACCCTCATGCAAACATCCCTCTGTCCCCCACCCAGCTGCACAACCATCTGTCCATCTACCACGCACCCATTCATCCACCCACCTAACTTTCTATTCACTCACTGACTGATAGGCTCATTTTTAAAGAAATCATTTTGTGCCTACAGGTAACAAAAGAAATATAGACATTGACACCATGAAAATTTTAAAATTTTGTACATGAAAGATACTATTCACAAAGTAAAAAGGCAACCCACAGAACAAAAGAAAATATTTGCAAACCACATATCTGATAAGGGATTAACATCCGGAATATACACAAAACTCCTACAACTCAACAACAACAACAACAACAACAACAAAACCCAGTTCAAAAAAAGTGGGCATAGCACTTGACAAGACATTTCACCAAAGAAGATACACACATGGCCAGTAAAAACACAATGAATAAATGTGCTTTTGAAAAAAGCACAATGAACACCACTAATCATTAGGGAAAGGCAATTCAAAACTACCATCAGATACTACCTCAAACCAATTCTGATGGCTACTGTCAAAAAAATCAGAAGATGGCAAGTGTTGGCCAGGATGTGGAGAAATTAGAGCACTTGGGGCCTGTTGGTGAGAATGTACAATGGTGTTGCCATGTGGAAAACGGTGCCCATACCTGGGACTTCCCCCCTGAAAACTCCCAGTCATGGGAGGGAATCCAGTGCCCGTGCCCGAGACTCCCTTCCCCCAACCCAAGAATTCTGGAGTATGCTTATAAAGTGTGAATCTCTTAGATTCTTAAAAGCAGTGCTCAATTCACACCCATCGCCCCCAGGGGAAGGGAATAAACAAGCAAGGAAGACATTGCATGAATATTTTTTTGGACAAACCAGCGAGTACATGAATGTGTTTTGGAATGAACCAATGAATGCATGAATATTTTTTAGAATGAACCAACGAATACATAACTATTTTTGGATGAATCAATGAATGCATGAGTATTTGAATAAATTAGAGAATGAACAAGATATGAGTGAATGAACAAATGAGCAGATAAAGTCATGCTCCAGGGCCAGGGCCCTGAGAGCGGGGCCCAATAAGCCTGAATGGGTCCTCTCTCAACGAGGGGCTGGGTCCAGGCCTTTCAGCACCCACATAGCTCACCTGAGCCCCAGCCAAGACAAGTCCCCAGAACAGCTCTCCCTCAGAGTCCATTGTCCCAGGAACCACAGCACCCTCCTGCCGCCTGCCTGGCCCTGTCCTGGGGGCCCTCAGCCAGGGCGCTGACCACCATTCCAAAGTCAAGGATGCAGACGTCCAGGAGTTGATGTGCACCAGTGTGGAGGTCAAAGGCACATTCCAGAGCCCTGGGGCCAGTGTGCAGAAGGCACAAACCTGGCTCTGGGAGAAAAGACTGGGGTGGCAGGCAAGCCCAGAGATGACTAAACCAGGGGCCAGCTGGGCTAGAGAGGGAGGCAGACACAGAACAGAAGCCTGTAAGGCCAAGTCAAAGCAAGCAGGTGCCGGAGGAAGAAGTCTGTGCATGGGCTGTTGGTCAGATAGAGGAGGGACAGGCTCAGTCTCTCTGCTTGAGGCCCCCCTCTCTGTGGCTTGGCCTGAGGTCCCCCTAACCACCGCCTCCTCCACCTCCACAGGGAGATGGGGAAGTAGATAGCTCAGCTGCCTGAGTTTATTTAGAGAAGACACAGTGAGGGCTGGGCTGGGCCTTCCTGTGGTCGCAGAGGAAGTGCTAAAGGGGGTGGTGAGGCAGGGAGCAGTCCTTGTGAAACAGCGGGCGGGGGGATGAGGAAATAGACCCGGGGTCTCCCCGAGAGATGCGCCAAACTCAGCCCCATCGACTCCATCAGCCTCTGTAGCCCCCTGACCAGTGGCGATAGAAGTTCTGCGTGCTTCTCGAGTGACAGGGAGCTCATGCACTCTAAAGTCAGCCCCTGTGAGCCTGGGTAAGCTGTTGAGGTCAAGAAACCTTTCCTGGGATGGAGCTAATATCCAGCTTCACCAGACCTTGCCGTGTTGGAATCCATTCTCTTTTTGTGTCTGAAAAATTTCTCCCACTTGTCCTGAAAACACTTTGGGGATTTGACATAACGCTCAAGTTCCCCCATCACTCCTCTCATCTGCTTTCTTCCAAGGAAAGTGGTAATGTTTTTGGAGAACCTACTACGTGTCAGGCGCAAGCAATGCCACTCTTTACACTCACTACAAACTGAGGCGCTCGGAGGTCAAGTGACTTGCTTGAGTCAACACAGCCAGATTCCAGGTGTGACAGACTCCAGACCCCACAGTTTCTCTAACACACCAGGTTAAACCTCTTCCACTTCTTCCACTGAGCACACAGTTTTGAGTTTGCTTAACAACTCCGACAAGTAGCAGTCAGTGTCCATAGTGAAAAAAAGGGTCCAGAATCTGCGCCGCCAGCAACGGAGCACAGCTGAGATGAACACCCATGCCACTGGGACTATGCAAAGGGGTAAACACAGTTAAGAGCTTAATCCTGCTTTAAATGGGTTCAAATTCTCCTTCCTAGCTGAGTGTAAGATCAAGTCTCCTCTGTGAGCTTCCAATGTCTCATCTGTAAGACAAGGATAATAGTAGCACCTACTCCATTGTTTATGTCAAGAATAAATAAGATCAGATGTGTGAAGACATGGTACATAATAATGGTAAATGACCCACATGGCACATGGCTATTTTTTTTTTTAATTGGGTGGTGGTGTTAGAAGGTTCTTCTGCTAGACACCTGTGGCCAGACCTCTGAGGTTATCCGTGTTAAGAACATCTGTGAGAACGCTCCGAGACCACCCCACACAATAGTATCTGTTTACAGATGATAAAGTTGGGTTTCCCTTGAAGATAGGATACCAAGCACACATCGAAACTGCCCCACTCCTCCCCAAACATTTAGAAATGGCAGGAAAATGCAAACTTAAACCAGAGACCAAAGCAGAGGTGCCCGATGGCGAGGTTGCCCTGCCCGTGAGAGTACAGTGCCGCCTAATACGCGAGACCAAGAGCACACACTCTCAGAAGACACAAAAGAGATGAAAATTCACAGCCACTTCATGAGGCTCCCACAAACTCTCCAACTTGAAGACTTGATATAAGAGGAAACAGACTATCATGCAATATTACAGTCTAGTATAAAAACATTAAATTACTCAAGAATATAGAGGATAGAATAATATCCAGAAAACAAGAACAAGAGGTTATAAAACAAAAACAAGTATGTATGTATAAGAAGTAGTTAGAACTAAGATATGAAAAATACAGTTGTTACAAAACTCAAGTGATGGGTTGACTAGTAGAAGGGGAAACCAAGACCCAGACCTGGGAAGGGACTTTCCAAGGTCACATGAAATTATAGTGGCAAAGTTGGACCCAGAACCTGGAGCCCAGGTTTTAAAAGCCAAGAACTGATTTCTTACTCAGGAGATAAGCCTGTAGGCCATTTGTGGCTCTCCAAGGGTGTTCTCTGATTTCCTTCCTCTTCTCTCTGTCCTGTTTTTCTTTTCTTCCCTTGTGTTATAACATTGCTGATGAGCTGGACTTCATGAATCTTCCCTCATGATGAACTGAGCTTTCATTCCCTGACTGGTCAGGTTGGGATAATGGATATATAAACATGGCCAGCCCTCTCCTCCCATATTAGAATTTAAGTAAACAGAATCTTAATGTCAGAAGTTGACCAAGTGAAATGACCAATATTGGCCATGGGATGCTGAATGGGTGACTTAACATCTCTAAGTCTCAGAGTTCTTATCTCTAAAACAGGCTCAAGGGTCCCCATTATATGCAGATGTTTTGAGAATTAAATATTAAGTTGTGTGTTCAAGGAACCAGGCATATCCAGGTAGTCTCACATGTGACACTTTCCTGGGGCCCAGCAAACCCTCTTCTTTAAGCCCAAAGAACCCTCAGATAAGGATAAAACTCCAGTTACTTGGCAACTCAGCCACAAATGGAGGAGAGAGAAATTGAAAACCCTAAAACAATATGAACCCAAAGAGGCCCATATCAAGACACATAATTAAAATGCCAAAGTTTAAAGACAAAGGGAGAATCTTAAAAGCAGCAAGAGAAAGGCAGTTATTACCTCCAGGGAGCTCCTATAAGACTGTTAGCTGATTTCTCAACAGAAACTTTGCAGGCTAGAAAGGATTGGCACAAAATATTCAAAGTGATGAAAAGCAAAGACCTACGACCAAGTCTACCCTATCCTTAAAGGCTATTATTTAAAATTGAAGGAGAAATAAAGAGCTTCCCAGACAATAAAAAGCTAAAAGAGTTCACTACC